AGGAAGTGAGAACATGCCAGGAAGAAATGGAAGAGATGATGATAGTGACTCCAGCTCTCTAGACCGTACCATCCAAGCTTGATTCCATATTACCACAGGTCAGTGACATGGCTGAGCCCCAAACCATCTGGTGTCAGCACTGAAAATCTCAATGCAAATAGTAGGGGTCTCCCTACTTCTCTACCACCTTGGAGTTGAGATAATGAGTAAAAGTTATTGCAGCATTAGGAAATGATATTAGACAAAATGCCTAGTTTGAAAGAGACAGGAATTCAGGTACTGGACATAGTAATGGATGACAGGTGGGGGAGAAAAAAGCAAACTCTGAATCGGAAAAAATGGAACCTAATTACAGTTCTGCAAGTGACATGCCTTGTTATCTAAATTTCATCAGTTCACCTCTCTGGACTTGGTCTTTCCATTTTAAGGGGTGTGGATGATAAATTATACCTTGTTTTCTCTAGAGTATATGTTTTTAGGAGGTAACAATCTTGTAAAAAATTTTTTTTAAAGTGTGAGAAAACTGTTTTGTGTATTCAAGCTTTTAATCCTATGAATATTAATCTTTGCTCAGCCACAAAATCTTGTGAGGTTAGTAGCTAGATTATGTCACTACCAATTTTGAGTTAAAAACTGAGCACAAAAAAGTTTTTGGATTTTTCCAATGCCTCATACTGAGCAGATAGAAAACCCGAGAATGACCACGGAGTCATTTTCCTTTCTAAATTGAGACTCTCCAAGGAGGAAGAAATTTGTTCAAGGTCACAAATCAATCTTGTTGTGGAATCAGGACAAAAATTCAGGTTCCATGTATTCTACTAGAATTCTTTTAGTACACAATATATTATTGAGAGAATGTATGTAATACTGTCATTCAANACAAAAGTGCTCAAATCATAGCACATAGTCAATGATGAGGCATGGAAGCATATTAAGGATGTCTGAACTCTTTCTAGACAATTCAGAAAAGATTTATTTTTTTCTTTGTCATATATCTGGGAAAATACACTACAAACAGAAAAGTATATCCATCATAATATCAATATGTCAAAAACTCAATAGTATGTTACTAAGAGTTATCAGAAATAAGTCTTTAGTGAACATTGATAAAAATGTCTAGGTATAGACACAATCACAGGGAGTGTGAAAGTTACAAATGCAAAAAGATGGTTCCAGTCCAATATGATATTGCAAGGTAGTGGAAGAATGAAAAAGAAAAATTAAAGATTAAAAAAAATAATTGAGACTCACAATGGACTAGATTAGAAAGCAAAACCCTCAGGTAGGCAGCAAAATTAGCTCTGAAATTTAAAAAAAATAAATAAATAATAAGGGTAAAGAAAAGGAAGGAGACTCCTTAGGCATGTGAAAAAGCATGAATGAAAGACAAATAATATCCCTAGATATGGATGGACTAAAGGTCAATGAAAGATGTGCAGGATGTGGTAGGGGATAAATCTAGAAGTGTCAGCTTGGGGAGATAAATAAATACTTAGGTTGGTGCTGTGAATTTAGAACTCAAAATAACATTATTGAAGACAGAAATTGGCAGGACGTTTTACAAAATAAATGATATGTTGTAGAGTCTTTTCAGATTCTTGAGCAAGTGAAAAGCAATAAATATTTCTTCACAGTCTGAAATACATTATTTCAGTGAAAGTTCATCATTTGACGTGAATAAACCAAATATCTGGTGTTACAGGGCATGTACACCATCACCCCTTGAATACAGCCCTTCACTTACCAAAGAGGATGTCAGATTCTAACTTCAGTGACAACAGTCTCCCAGACACTCTCTTCCTCACAGGGATACCAGGGCTGGAGGCTGCCCACTT